GGTTCTTGGGAAGATGCAATAGAAGACCATTACCTTGCAGGTTATGTTAAAAGGAGGGGCATCCTAGAGCCTACTGATGTGGAAGAGAGGAGGGTTCAAGGCAGAAAAATCTGGAAAGTATCTCAGTATTTAAGACATGATCAGCAGTGAATTCCACAGAAGAGAAGAAGGAGAAATAGTCATTGAGGAAAAAGAGATCCTGGATGAAGGGTGAAGAGGGGAGGCTCTGATTTCAGCAGGGGAGAGGTTGGCAGGTTAAATGTCTCTGAGGGGGTTCTGTAAGTGAGCCAGCAGAGATCCATTAGGTGAGACAGAGAAGTCTCAGGTGGGTGATAGTGGAGAAACCTTATGATACCAGACTGATGAACAAGGAGGAGCTAGGTGTGATGGTGCACACCTGTAATCCCAGCAACTCGTGAGGCCAAGACAGGAAGATCCCTGCCTGCAGGGAAGCCATCCCTGTAACTTGGCAAGATCTTGTCTCAAAATAAAATGGAAAAAACCACTCAAGGGGCCGGTGATGTAGGTCAGTGGTAGAGTACTTGCTCAGCATGCACGAACCCTTAGTTTGCTCTCTAGTACTAAGGAAAAAGAAAAGAAAAGAAAACAAGGGGGGAGGTGAGAATAACAATTTTTCTTTCAGAAATCTATTTTCTGAGAGAAGAGAATAGAAAGATTGGTACAGACAAGGGCAACAATCAAGGGAAAGTCTCTTAGAAGCCTGGGTTATTCACCATTAAGAGTGAGGAACAGTAGAGATGTGGTCCTGTGGATGATGGGAGAGACTGCGTGCCTGCCAGAGCACAGTTTAGAGTTGAGAAGGTGTAAGTCTAGAGCGTAGGGGAGAGATGGGTGTGCTCCTGAACTCAGTTTTAGAAGCCTGTCACATGAGAAGCCGGTACCTGAGAAAGCAGTGTTAGGAAAAGGCAAGGAAGCTATGTTGAGGGTACTTGCAACCCGGGGGTGAGGGGGGGGAAGGTCAACATCTCAGATGGCTCTTTAGAGCTGTTTTGGAGGTGGGCAATATTTATGAGGATCAGGTTAGGGGCTGCATGTGGAAATGAACGCAGCCTAAGGGCCATGTCCTGGGAATCGGAAGGAAGGGAAATAAAGCAAAATGGACTGCCAGCAGCAACAGCCTGTTGTTACATAAGGACCTCTCCCGCACACCAGAGGCTGGTGATAGGGATTCAGGAGGTTTCTGATGAGTTTGAAGGTGGGATGGGAGGTGATGGCAGGAAGAGGAAGGAAATACCACAGGCTAGCACCTTGCTTTTCTCAGCGCAGCAGGAGACCAGAGGTCCTAATCTGGGAGCCAAGGGGTGGGATCCTCAGGGGGAGTAATGAGGGTTTTGAATTCTCCCCAAGGTAGCAGAGAGAGAGCTGATCAAAGACAAACATCAGCTCTGGAGCTGGTTCATGGTGGAAACAATGGTGGGTATATTTTTAGTGTAAAGGGCTAAATTCTTTCCATACATTTTCTTATTTTTCTGAGGCAGGTGCTATTAATTCCCTCACTTTACAGATGAAGAAAACAGAGCTTAGAGAGTGCCCCAAATCTAAGCTGTAGGAAGGACAGAGGTGGACTTCAAACCCACCTGTAAAACCACACCTTTAACCACCTTGTCATCCTTTGATGACATTTGGAATGCATGTGTGAGTAGAGAAGGGGAGGTTGGAAAACAAGAACATACTTTTTTCTTTATAATTTTTAAAAAAAATTTTATTTTACTTTTAGCTGGGTGTGGTGGTGCACACCTTTAGTCCCAGCACTTGAGAGGCAGAGGCAGGAGGATCTCTATGAGACTGAGGCCATCCTGGTTTAGACAGTGAGTTCTAGGCCAGCTGGGGCTACAGGGGGACTCTGTCTCAAAAAACAAAAACATTTAAAAATTTTTACTTTTAATTATGTGTAGGCATGTATGTGTCTATGCATAGGAGTGACAAGCCTGCAGAAGATTCCCTGGAATTGGTTTAACAGGTAGTTGTGAGCTGCCTGACATGTATGGTGGGCCTCGAACTCAGGTCCTCTGCAGGAGCAGGAGGTGTTTTTAACTTCTGAACCATCTCTATAGTTCTTTTAAATTTAATTTTATGATTTAAAAAATATTTTATGTGTATGAGTATTTTGCCTACATGTACATAAGTGCATCACATGCATGCCTAGTGCCCACAGAGGCAGAAGAGGATGTGGGATCCCCTGGAACTGGAGTTAAGGATGGGTCTTAGCCACTATGTGGGTGCTGGAAACCAAACCTGAGTCCCCTGGAAGAGCAGTCAGTGCTCTTAACTGCTGCTCTCCAGCTCCCTTTCTTTCTTATTTTAAATTTTTATTTCATTGAATTTTTGTGGTTTACATACAATATAATTTGATGGCATTTAGATTCTCCCCCCTCCTTATCCATACCTCTCCTTAATGGCCCCTGCCCAATTTAATGTAGTCTATTTTATGTATACATGAATATATATATATATATATATATATCCTATAAAGTCTAATTAGTGTCCCCAAATATCCTTCAGTATGAGTCTATCCACTGGAGCCGGGTTCACCAAGAGTCCCATCCTTTAAAGAGACTGTCTGCCCTTCCCAGCAGCCATCGGTCACCATCATTTCCTTAGGTTGGGTTGGGGTTTCTTATCCACTTCCTCATGCTATGCTGGGATTTTGTCTGATATGAGCTTTCATGGGACTTGGGCATGCTGTCACCATTGCTGTGTGTTCATAGGAGTAACTGAGCAGCTGCTTGGAGAACTCTTTTCTTGTGGTCATCCACCACCTCTGGCTTTTATGACCTTTGTGTTTCCTCTTCTGAAATGATCCCTGAACCTCGAGAGGCAGAAGTTTGATGCAGGTGTCTTATCCAGGGATAAGCACTCTGTAGCCTCTTATTCTCTGCACACTGGCCAGTTGTGGGTTTCCTTGTTAATCACCATCTGCTGCATAAGAAAGCTTCTCTGATTGGAGTTGAGAGATGCATTGATCTATGGGTATAACAGTAAGTCATTAGGAGTCAGTTTAATACAGTAACTATTTAGTAGAAAAGTAGTATTAGGTTCTCCCTTATGTCCTGTAACCTGTCTAGCTTCAGGTTCCTAAGCCTGATATCAGTGTCAGGTGTGGGCTCCATCCTAGGAGGATGACCTTAAATCCAATTAGAGAGTGGTTGGTTGTTCCCATAATATTAGTGCCACTGTTGCTCTGGTGGAAGTGGGCATGTCTTGCTAGGACAGTTATTGTAGTTCACAGAATTCACAGCTTGGGTAGGGTTGATAATTACTTTTTCCTTCCAGTAGCATGTATAGTACCTTCTAGCACTATGGACACTAGCCAATAGAGATGAAGCTCTGAAGTCAGCACCATCTTGGTTTCCTCTTGCTCATTCTACAGCTCATGTACGTAGTATTTTCAGCAATAGTGTCTTACCATCCATTTCTGGTGGAAACCAAGAACAGGGGCAATGGCCGGTATTGTTCGAGGATCTATGGGCCTCCTGGTCAACAGCTTCTAGAGAGGGACTTCATTCCTGGCATTGAGGTTTATTTTTTTCAAAAGCCTATGCTGCCTAGAAAGGAAACTCCTTTTAATCTCTTTTTATAATGTATATGTATATATTTTAAGAAGCTTCTAATTTCCTTATAGCATTTTCTTACATATTTAGTTTGGGTTGATCCTCCCTGCTTCTCCCATTTCCCTGCTCCCTCATCCTGGCTTATACCCGTCTACCCCTAGTGGCCCCCATTCCACTTCCTTTCTAAGATTTATTTTTAAATTAATATAATAATCTAAAATTCTTTGAGAATTTCATACAATGTATTTTTTTTTACTGCATTCACCCCTTCCAACTCCTTCCCTAACTTCTCCCAGATCTACCCAATCTCCAAGATTTGTTTTTTAAATTTTTAATTATGTGTACATGGACATGTCTGTTTGTTGGTATATGCATGTGAGTTGCTGGTACCCATGGAGACCAGAAGAGGGCATTGGAGTTATAAGCAGTTATGAGTCTTCTGATATGGATGCTGGGAACTGAGTTCAGGTCTTCTGCAAGAGCCAGACACCCTCTTAGTTGCTGAGTCATTTCTCTAGTCCCTTCCCCATTCCATTTCATATTAAACAAAGAACACTCATGTTTTGAAGATGGAGAGCAGATATGCAGGGCAGGGGTCGTGAGAGACATGGAAAGGTGTATTTAAGGGTGTGGTCAGGGAAAGAGTTGAGCAGACTGTTGCAGAGCTAGGGAAGTATGATTTGATGGAATGGCAGAGACAGTGGAGGTGAAAGCAGCAGGCCTGAGGAGGTGAAGGATCCATGAAGCTAAGGTCAACAGAAGCTACTGCCTTCATGATATGGGGGGGCTTGTCTACAGAGCCAAGTCTGAGTGGCAAGGAGAGTAATGCAAGTGAGATGAGTGAGCTTCCAGGGAGCTTTTGCAAGGTGATGATTTAGAAGAGGTGGTGAAGATGGAGACTTTCAGCACTGCTCAGCACCTATGTGTGGGAGGAGGATTGTCTTCCACCCAAGAGGGCTCAGGGTATCTGTGTTCTGAGGGACCCTGAATCAACTACTGTCAGGTGATAGAAGCCCAGTGCTGGAGACTCTTGGCAGCTGGGAGCAGGGATTGACTTATAGTGATAATCTGTTTGCATGGGGTTTTACCACAGTGGGGCTTTGGGTTCATACCAACTTTGGTGGTAACCTAAACTTTGCTTCTTCCTACTTGTCGAATCTTGGGCCTCAAGGCTAAATAATGCCCAGCACATAGGGTGGAACCCAAGCTCTTAATTTTCTTCAACCTCTTCCCCTCAGCTGATTGGCCGGGCTGGGGTGAAATAGGGAGGGAGAAGAGAGGAATGGGTCTTGTGGGCCTTCTCCACGGTCTCAGAAGCACACTTGGTGTCGTCTCAGGGATGGAGCCTTGTCTTCTGCTCATGCTTTCTTTTCTTTCCCAAGGTATACTCAGGCCCTGCCAGTCTTTCTTCTTCCAAGGAGTAGCTGTCTGGACCCTCCACCAGGGCTGGTAAACTGCCTGCCACCCCGCCAGTAGCAAGCATTCTACTTCTATCACCGTATGGAAGCTACGGGCCGGGCTTCCAGAAGACAGCTGTGCCCACCTGGGACCATGTGGCTGGTCCTGGCCTATCTCCTCAGCTACCTGCTCACCTCTAGTAAGGCCAAGGTCTTCAGCCGCTGTGAGCTGACCAAAGTGCTTAATGACTTCGGTCTGGATGGCTTCCGGGGATATAACCTGGCTGACTGTGAGAATCCTTCTCCCATGCTGGACTCAGTTCCCTCTTATCTCCATTGGCTCCCCTTGTCCTTCCGTCCTACTACTTGAAGCCTTTTTGAGCTCAACCCTTCTTTGTAAAACCAGAAGTCAGTGAGACAATAGGCAGAGACCTCCCAGTCCTGAGTTACCTACATAGCAAGGGGTAACAGCCAGGCAGATTAGAGGCAGCTATGTTGGCAGCCAGGAGTCAAAGGAACCAAGCATCTTTTAATACATTAAACTTTATCTTGGCCATGGGGATCAAACATGCCTACTGAAATTTAGAAGGCAAACTGAACATATTATTTACACCAAACATTTCAAACCAGCAGAAGTTTCAGAAAGTTGTATAGTCACATTTTGATTCATTTGTTTCTTTTCTCATCCCTCTTTGTAGAGCTTGCCTGTGTCTTCTTGCCTCTAAAGATTTAGTTCTTTTAGATTGAGTCAACAAATACAAGTCCTTCTATATCTTAAACAATGAGAAAGTGTTAAGATTGATAGTCAGGAAGGCTGAGGTCTGGTTCCTGCTTTGAGGTAGCTGTGTGTGACCTTGGAGGAAGTCAGTTTACTCTCTGACCCTCGTTTGATCCATCTGCAAAGTAGGTGGGAGGGCACCTGTCCTTATTTCCTTGAGGCTCAGGGGAGCCAGTGTAGGATTCTATCTGTGAACACTCTGGTCTGCGGTGGCCCAACCCACTTGACCCCACAGCCTGTGTCTACCCCTTGCAGGGATTTGTCTTGCTTACTACACAAGTGGTTTCAATACAGCTGCTGTGGACCATGAGGCTGATGGAAGCACTAACAATGGTATCTTCCAGATCAGCAGTCGGAAGTGGTGCAAAACTCTCACCCCGAATGGCCTCAACTTGTGCCGGATGTATTGCACTGGTAAGCTGGGGTTGGGGTCTACAATGGCTTTCACTTTTTCCCAGGTTAGTTTGCTCTCCCTGCCTTTGTCTCCAAGTGAAGATCCCCAGGAGGTGGATATGGGGCAAGAGGTGAAGGATGGTCCTCCATGAATCTGATTTGGGGCCCCAGCTGGAAGAGCTACAGGAATGAAGACGGTTTCTGTTGGAGGGGGGAGGAGTAGAGTGAAGCCTGTACTTCCAGAGGTGAAGGAATGTGTTTGTGTATGAGAGAGAGAGAGAGAGAGAAAGAGAGAGAGAGAGAGAATGATGATGATGATGTAAGATGTATTGCACTGGTAAGCTGGGGTTGGGGTCTACAATGGCTTTCACTTTTTCCCAGGTTAGTTTGCTCTCCCTGCCTTTGTCTCCAAGTGAAGATCCCCAGGAGGTGGATATGGGGCAAGAGGTGAAGGATGGTCCTCCATGAATCTGATTTGGGGCCCCAGCTGGAAGAGCTACAGGAATGAAGACGGTTTCTGTTGGAGGGGGGAGGAGTAGAGTGAAGCCTGTACTTCCAGAGGTGAAGGAATGTGTTTGTGTATGAGAGAGAGAGAGAGAGAAAGAGAGAGAGAGAGAGAATGATGATGATGATGTAAGCCTGTTCTTTGCTTCCTAATTGTGTTGCTCTGTCTCCCACTCTAGACTTGTTGAATGAAAACCTCAAGGATTCTGTTGTCTGTATCATGAAGATAGCTCAAGAGCCTCAGGGTTTGGGCCTCTGGTAAGTAGCTGAGATTGGAGTCCCTTGGTGTGGTCAGAACTGGGGCACGGGGGAAGCAACAGGAACTGGTCTTCTAGGAGTACCCACTTTGTCCTAGGTGACACACTCCATGGCTTCATGGCCCAGCCCTCATAACCACTCTTGGTGTCAGAGATTATCACCATCCAGATGTTTACAGATGATCCTCTCAGGGAGAATAACAAGTCATTGGTGGTCACATGACCACACAGCTCAGTCTGGCTCTTCCAAGACATGTCTGTTTTGAAATGTCCATTTAATGGCTCTCTAGTCCAGGGTCTAAGAAGATTGTTCATTTTTTTGTAAACTGTATATATAAAAAACAAACTTTATGGGGCTGGAGGGATGGCTCAGCAGTTAAGAACACTGGTTGTTCTTGCAGAAGACCTGGGTTCGAATCTTAGCACTCATATGGCAGCTAACAACTGTCCATAACTCCAGTTCCAGGGGATCCGACAGCCTCCTCTGTCCTCTGCGGGCATTACATGACACGGGTGCACTTACCTACATGCAGGCAATACACGCATACACAAAAAATAAAATAAAAAAATAAAATATTAAAAAACAAACTATATAAAAGTGCAAGATGTACAACAGATGGCAGAAGAGGTTCTTTGTTTGAAGCAGGGGTAGGGCTCTGTAGCCTCCCTCTTCCTGTTTTTTTTTTTTAACCTTCTCCCAGCAATATGTCCTTTGAAGTCTCCTTATGACAAGAAGTTCTCTGAGCATAGCTTTGGGCACTGGCCTAGATGGTTGCTTCACAGAGACACCTGGATCTGTTGCTCTATAGGCCAACTCTGCTGGTCCATTTCTCTCCTTTCAGGAAGGTGTATGAATAACAGGGGGTTGCAGGCACCTCCCCATGTTTCTGAGCAAGTGTCAACACACCTTGTGCTTTTCTTCATTGCTGAGAGCATCTTAAAGCCAGCCTAGGAGCTGGCTTTAAGTTATAGCCAGCCTTTTTTGATAGGAATTTCCCAGTTAGTCTTCAACCTCCCTTCCACTTGTGTTTGTGAATGAGAAACCAGCAGGTAGGGGCAGAATATGGGAAAGGTGAAGCACCCAACGGACTGGGGCACCAGGGCCATGGACAGATGTAAAAGCTGATAAGGCTGGGGAAGAAACTTGGGAAGCATTGGAGCAGAAAGAAGGCAGAGAGAGTGAAGATGGGATGGGGGCCTGTTTGGATTGCTCTGAGGGAGCTTAGGTGAGCCATGTAGAGTCTAGAGAGGGACAGGTGCACCAGTGGTGGGCACAAGAGAGGTTAGGTACATGGGGCTATGGAAGAGATGCAATGACAGGTGAGATGTGGTCTAAGAGGAAGAGGAGGAGGTGAAAATGACTGAATCTAGAGATAGTCCAGATACAGTCCTTGAAATGGACACAGTTTACTCGGTGTGAGAACAGTTGAAGTCCCAAGAACTGAGTCTGGGGATGAGGTCAGATCTATAGGACAATGTGTGTACAAAATCAGGAAGAGACAATGTATCTCAGATACTGTTCTATGGGGTGGAAGATCTAGTCCTTATGGGTTAAACCAAAGAAGAGCTTTCTTTTTTACACTTGAAGTAAATTCCTGGCATGAATTACTCCTGAGAGGTGACTAAGGCTAATTGTAGGAAGTGGTCCCAAAAGATGGAGATGCTGTCTATTCCTCCCACTCACATGCACTGGAGACTCAGGTATGAAAGGCCTAGATAGATACTGGGCTTCAGAGATAGCTGAGACCTGCTTCCACCCTCAGGAGTCTTATATTCTAGTGGAAGAGACAATTGACTTCAGTTGACAGATGTTTAGAGGTCTTTCAGGGACAGTTTTGATCACTGAGCTCTTTGACATTGACATCATAGAGGATACTAGTTTTCAGAGCTTGGGATTCCTGAGAACTTCGGCCCCCCAGGACTCTATGGTCTTGCTTATCTCTCTTATGATGTTAGCTGTGAGGAGCCTGGGAGAGTGCTTATCATGCAAGCATGAAGACCTGAGTTTGACCCCTGTAACATATGTAAAATAAACTGGATATGGTGGCACACATTTGTAATCCCAGGATTAGGGAAATGTAGACAGGCATAGATTTGTGAGGCTCACTGACAGCCAGCCTAGCCTAACTGGTGAACTCCAGGTTCAGTGAGAGGCCCTGTCAGTGAAAGATTTATCGTCCTCTTTTTTTTTTTTTTTTTTTTTTTTAAAAAAAAAAAAAAAAAAAAAAAAAAAAAAGATACACAGCTCCTGAGAAACATTTGAGATTGAGATTGATCTCTAGTCTCTACATGTACACACATACCAAAATAAAGATGACCCAGCAGACCCAGAATGGAGTACTGGTTCTGAAAGAGTATATAAACCATAGTAACCAACAGTGAAAAGGCCTAGACTGCCAACCAAGGAATGCTGAGTGGGAGTGTAGCCACGGACCCATGGTGAATAATTTTGCTTTACAGCCTGAGTTTTTCATTTGGAAAATTGGGGACTTGATATCTGCCCAATCTATCTAGTGGATCAGTAGGGGACAGGAAGTGGTTGGTGATAAATGGGTGACAGGGATGATGGCATGTAAACTATGACAGACTGTACACATACATGTAAGGTGGCATCACTGTCCCCAGAAAAACCAGGGTGTAAGAAAAAAGTTTTGTACCCCTACTCCAGACTCAAGGTTCTAACCCCTTGACTATGACTTATGGTGAGCTGGAACATGCTAGTTTGTATCTTCAGTGGTAAAATAAGAAGGCTAGATATTGAAGTTTTAGACCCATTCTCTTTCTCTTCCTTAAAGTTTCCCAAAGGGGATTCTTTGCTTGTTGGTTTCCTCATTCTTTTCTAACTCAGGAGCCCCTGTCCTTGCCTCTCTGTAGTATAGATCAGCATGCCCTTCCTGTTCTCTGAGCAGTATCAGGGCTGAAGCTGATATGGCCTCTTTTCTTCCTTGTCTCCTTCCTCAGGGAAGCCTGGAGGCATCACTGCCAGGGCAAAGACCTCACCGACTGGGTGGATGGCTGTGACTTCTAGGACCCTCTCTATACAAAGCAAGCCGCACACAGCTGGCTGGGAAGTATGGTTTGTTCCTGACCCAGGCTTGGGAAGACAAGCCAACTAATAAAAATCTAGTTTGACATAATCATGCTCCTCAGCATTCAGTGGGTCTGCAGGTGCTCGCTGGCTCCAAAGCTGCTCATTTTTCTCTCGTCTTACTTGTCCACCTGGGCTAGGTTTCAAGTAGACTCCAAAAAGCCCACCATGGGGGACTGGAGAGATGGCTCAGCACTGACTGCTCTTTCAGAAGACCCAGGTTAAATTCCCAGCACCCACATGGTGGCTATAAACTGTACTTAACTCCAGTTCCAGGGGAATCTGAAGCTCTCTTCTGACCTCCACAGAATTGCATGACATGGGTGCACTCACATACATGCAGGCAATACACTCATACACATAAAACAAAAATAATAAATAAAATATTTATTTAAAAAAGCCCACCATGAAAGGTCTGGAGACAGGGCCAGTGCCTTCCGGGCACTGATTTAGCAAAACTCCAGATTTAGCAAAAACCAAACCAAAACAAAAACAGGATGCTCCAGTTAGATCTGAATATCAGATACACAAATAATTGAAAAAAATAAATATAGGGGCTGGACAGATGGCTCAGTGGTTAAGAACACTGGCTACTCTTGCAGAGGACTTGGGTTGGATTCCCAACACCTACATGGCGCCTGGAAGCTGTACCTGGATCTGGTGTTATGTACCCTTGGCTCATTTGGAAATGTCCCTGGGACAGTTTCTGCAGTTCTGATTGAGGATGGCAACGCTTATGCCTCAAAATCTTGTATGGGTCATATTAATAGCTCAACAATTATGTATCTGAATTCAGATGTAACTGGGAACTGTTATAGTTTTACCTGGAAGCTGTACCTGGATCTGGTGTTATGTACCCTTGGCTCATTTGGAAACGTCCCTGGGACAGTTTCTGCAGTTCTGATTGAGGATGGCAACGCTTATGCTTTGGTCCTCCCTCTGGTGCCCCTGACACACTCCTGTCATGGAGCGGTACACAATGATTGTGGATGAAAGACCACAGGGGTTTCCCTTGGCTTCATCTGCTACCTTGCTCTCTCATGCCCTTTAGAGGCAGGAGATTCAAGTATCTAGTGATAGCTGTTAAAAGGCTGGAAGATGGGGGTAAGACTCGCTAGTGGGTTCAGGGGAGCAAGTTGCAGAACTACTACAGTTGTCTGCCTTTCCCAATATGTGGGAGTCTCTGAGGAAGATGGCACAGTCCTGTTGACAGAGAGCTGTCTTAGTTCACCAGAGACACCTGTATTTAAAGGAGGAAGGTGGGCAGAGCCTTGAGATTATAAGAACAGCAATCAAGGTGATAGGGTAATGTCTTGAGTTCACATTGTAGAGTCTTCTGGAAGGGCTTTCACAGAACCCTGTATGTGCTAAACTGTTAGTTGAGGCATGACTGGTGGGTGACTCCTAGGAGGGGCCTATGGTATCACCCACCATTTCTTTTTCCCACAACTGACCTGCTATCTCTTAATGACATTGGGTCAGCAAACACTGGAGAGAGGGCTGAACATCTGCAATGGATAAAACAGGCCAGTTGCCTTCTACTGTTTGGGCTGCTCAATGGGATGATAAAATGTGGAAACTGTTTACCCAAATAGACAGTGATGAAACCTCTTGCTAAGAGGGGACATTGACAACTAAGGGATTTATTAAATCACAAATAGAGATTGCTTTCTCTTTAATGTTACAGCAAATACCCTGTGCTGACCATGAGTCATGCATTATCTAATTTATACCCTAGGACAATAACAACGATGTGGGTGGGAAAGAAAATCTATACCTGAGTCAATATGGCTCCCTGTGTGCACACAGTCACTATGCTTGGTTGAGGGGTTGATGCTATGGCCAGAGACCCGGAACACATCTGTCTTAGATGCTGAGAAACTTCAGATGTTATCTGTGCTTACATTGCCTGATTGCTCCATTGAGCCCCATTCAGTTAGTCTGGGAAAGGAATGTAGGAAAGGGTGAATTAAGGCTCTTGGGTTTAACAGTTCTCACCAAGGGGAGAATTGTTAAAAGGATGTGGACGCTTGAGGTTGCTAGTATGGCCTCAGGCTTCTCAAGGTAGGGCTGGGCAGTGTCAGGTCTGGACAAGGGGGCCCTGGAGATACCTGGGCTGGGGAGTTGACTGCGAACAGGTAGAGATGGAGAAGGAATATCTGGGAGGGAGTGCTCTGATCAAAGTCATGGAGCCTGGCCTGTGATGAGGGTTGACAGTGAGCAGACTCACCTGGGAGTGCAAGATAGAACACTAGGCCCTAACCTAGCTCCTAAGAGAAATGTTCAGGTCTCTTAAGTACCTACCCAGGGTATGTCCTAGTGCCTCCCTGTTTCCACATCATTCTCCCCCACAGTTTCCTGGTCACAGTCTTGCCTATTTGACCTTTTTGGTTTTCTGTGTGTGTGTATGTATCATTCATGTTCATGTATGCAGAGGTGTGTGTGTGTGTGTGTGTGTGTGTGTGTACAAGCATGTGCCCCGATGCTCCCCATTTTTAATGTGGTCTCTGTGAACTCAGGTCCTCATGCTTGTGAGGCAAGTACTTTAATGACTGAGCTCAACTTGAACTTAATGGCTCTGGGAACTAACTGTTCCTCCTTCTACCCACACTTAGCTCTTTAAATCAAGCCTTTATCCCTGCTCTCTGGGACAGTTGCAGTGGCTTCTTGTAAGTGTCCCTACCTTGTTCTGTGCCTTCCCCTGTCCTCTGTCAGAGTGACCTTTCTCTCATTTTTGCCTTGCATCCCAATTACAGTGTTTTTTCTCACCTTTAGACTGAAATTCAAGTTCTTTCTTGGTATAGGTGAGCTCTCTGGTCCAGGACTTACCTGAACAATACAAAAATCATCTCCCAACTGACCAGAGACTTTTACTCTAGCTGGCGTGTGTCCCTGGCAGTTAGTTCCCTGAGCGCACCATGCTGCCCCGTACCCTTCTCCATCACTTCTTCCCCTCCTCCATTACTCTGGTTCATAAATTCTGTCTTTTGGATGCAACAAGCCACAGGGCCTTTGTGCCCCCCTTGGAATGCATTTCCTCAGAACTTTTGATGGCAATTCCTCTTCTTGTCAGTTCTTTTCTCAACTTTACCTCCTCAGAGTGACTCTCTGACCACCATAGCTGAAGGAGGCCCCTCATGACTCCTTGTTCTGTCCTATCACTGTAGCAGGTACCACTATCTGAAATGATTTCATACACATCTGAATTTATGTACATCTCTCAGTCTCTTTCTACTAGATTTTAAGCACCATGAGAACAGGAGCTCCATGTGTTCCTTCTGTCCCCAGCACCTAGAATAGCTGACCCACAGTACTCAATAAATGAGTAAAACCGTTGAAGGCCCAATTGCTGTGTGAATGAGTGAATGGCAGGCACTCATTTAATGTTTGCCAAATCAGAGAAAGAATGGGTCCTGAAGCCTTTAATAAAGCAACAATTCATGTGATGGTATTGCTAAGAACAACCTACATGCCAGGCCTCTGTATCTCTGCATCCCTTTAGGAGGACACATTATTCCTCCTGAGCCCTCTTGAGTAGACTGCCTCTCTAGGAGGTGACCCTATGTCCTTTATCCAGTTCCTTCCCACTGTCCCCTTGGTCAAATCTGACAGCCTGGGGAGCCCAGCATGGTGTGGGCAGAGATGGAGTAATGTGCTTTCTCTAGGATCCCAGCCATTCTGAGTGTGCTGAGCTCCAGTTGTCCCAGGGACTGATGGGTGTATGTATATCTTGCTTGTCTGAACACCCTGACCATGTTCTTTTAAATGTTTGCTGAGAAGGTGGGAGAGGAAAAGAGCATGTGGAAGAAAGGGAAGAAAAAGTAGATGGTTTGGATAAAGTGGCAGAGGTTTCTATGGAGTATGGGAAGTTTGCACTTAGCTATCTTTATCTGTAAGTGCAGGTGGGGAGATAGGGTCTCTTGGTGGCTGAAGACGGCCTTGAAGATGCTTTCCTGGGCTGAGGTAGTGGAGCTCTGCTGTGTGTTCTATGCCCTCTGAGCACCTGAGGACTTTGGAAGGTGGCTGAGTCATATAGAGATCAGCATTTCCTGGACTCTGTAAGTGGCATATGTGCCATCTAGTTTTGCTCTTTGCCTGGTCAGACACTGAAAATTGTGAGCAAGCCTCTATCTTTTTAAAAAAGCTATAGATATTTTAATATAAGTTACATGTGCCTTTAAGCACTGTTTTTCATGTAATATAGCTTAAACACTTTTTTTTTTTTTTTGGAGACAGGGTCTCCCAGTAGGCCCAGCTGGCCTGGAACTCACTATGTAGACCAGGCTGGGCTTGAACTCACAGAGATCCTCCTGCCTCTGCCTCCCAAGCATTGGGATTAAAGGCGTGTGCTACCAGGCCTGGTGCTTAAACACTTTTTAAAGAGAATACTCAAAATTCAACTTCTTTCTTGTACATAGTTGTGTAGAATTTTAACATATATAGCATATCTGAGACATGTAACTATTTTTCAGTGCCAGGGATTAAACCCAGGGTCTTGTGCATGCTAGACTGTGCCTTACTGCTGAGCTACTCTCCCATAAGTGTGATACATGAAACATACTTATTATAATTTAACCACTCACCTACCATTGGGTCTTTAGGTCACTTCCAGTTGTGTGATCTTTTAAAAATATTTTGTTTATTCTTTTTTATTATTTTCTGTGTGTGTAAGTATATTTGCCTGCATGAATGCAGGTTCACACGAGTTGTGCAGTGCCTGCAGAGGTTAGAAGAGACCATCAGATCCCCTGGAACTGGAACTACGGGCAGCTGTTAGCCACCATATGGGTGTTGGGAACTGAACCCAGGTCCTCTGCAAGAGCAGCTAGTGCTCTTAACCGCTGAGCCATCTCTCCAGCTCCTCCTGTGATCTTTTTTAAAAATTAAAAAAATATTTGTTTAAAAATTTTTATTAGACAAAACAAAAAAAAACCCAAAAA